ATATGCATCTGTCGGGTGTACTTTTCTCCATCAAGATACATGGTCTCCCAGCCTATCTGCATGATACTCACTAGGTGTTGGTTGCCTTTCCCATCCTGGTCTATGGGCTACCCTTGTATACTATTGCAGGTAAAAGGTAAAGGTAAAGGTTCCCCTTGACAATTTTTGTCCAGTCGTGTCCGACTCTAGGGGGCGGCGCTCATCCCGCTCTTCAAGCCATAGAGCCAGCGTTTGTCCGAAGACAATCTTTCCATGGTCACATGGCCAGTGTGATTTAGACACAGAATGCTGTTTACCTTCCCACCGAGGTGGGCCCTATTTATCTACTCGCATTTGCATGCTTTCGAACCGCTAGGTTGGCGGGAGCTGGGACAAGCGACAGGTGCTCATTCCGTTGCGGAGATTCGATCTTACGACTGCCGGATCTTCTGACCCTGCAGCACAGGCTTCTGCGGTTTAGCCCACAGCGCCACCACGTCCCTGTATACTATTGCAGAAGTTAGCAAATGGGTTGCTAATGAAGGAAGACTGGAAGACAGAGGAGGGAACACTAGAAAATTAGTGATGGCTTGGAAAAGTGAGGGAGGAGGATTTGCTGGCTTTAATCTTTTCTACAAATAATAATGATCTCTTAATTTGTTTTTATTGCTTTTAACAATTCACCTAAATTTAATCATCATCATCTTAGCACTGTAAAGCTGGAAGGGACCCTATAGATCATCATGCCCAGCCCCTGTCAAGGAGGTACAGTAGGGAACTAAATTCCCAGCCTCTGGCTTTGCATCTAGATATCTAAACTATTGAGCTATCCAGTGGTTCATTATATGAATAAAACAATCACTTATGGTTTGTCTATTTCCGATGCTGTTTAACAACTATATGAAGCTTTTTATGGTTTGTCTATTTCCGATGCTGTTTAGCAGCTATATGAAGCTGTTGAGTGAGGTCATCGGGGGGTGTGGAGCCTCATGCCATCAGTATGCTGACGACACGCAGCTCTACATCTCCTTTTCACCTACTTCAGTGGATGTCGTTTGTCCCTTCAGTGTTGCTTGGAGGCCATACTGCAATGGATGCAGGAGAATGGGTTGAGGTTGAACCCGGAGAAGACGGAGGTCCTGAGGGTGGGTGGCCCCTCCATTGGCAGCTTGGGGAACTTCCTCTCTTTTGGGGGGTGACTCTCACCGCAAAGAGTGAGGTTCACAGCTTAGGAGTACATCTGGACCCGGCACTTACCATGGAAACCCAGGTGGCGTCAGTGGTCCGTTCCGCCAATTACCAGCTGTGGCGGATTGCCCAGCTGCGTCCCTATCTTGATGGTGGGGCCCTCACCACTCTGGTCCTTGTAATCTCAAGTTTAGACCACTGTAATGCGCTCTACGTTGGGCTACCTTTGAGATTGATGTGGAAGCTTCAAATGGTGCAGAATGCAGCAGCCAGATTACTTAGTGGAACGAGAAAATTCCAGCATATCTCTCCCATTCTGGCTGCTTTGCATTGGCTGCCCATTCATTTCCACATTGACTTCAAAGTGTTAATCATGATATACAAAGCCCTAAATGGTTTAGGACCTCGATACCTAGCAGAACACCTTCTCCCACCTAGATCTACTCGAATCACTCGCCATAGCCAGGAAAGACGGCTGAGGGGCCTGATGCCGAGAGAGGCCCAGAAAGAAAGAACAAGAAACCGGGCCTTCTCAGCGTTGGCCACTCGACTTTGGAACAGCTTGCCGCCAGAAATCTGCCTGGCACCCTCACTGGGTGTTTTTAAGAGCCAATTTAAAAACTGGCACTTTAGGCAGGTCTTCCTCCTGCCAATACTTGATTTTACTTTTCTTGGTTTTTTGTTTATTCTCCCATCTTGATTATATTATTATTGTAGATTTTAATTGTTTTTAAATCTGTTTGTGCACAATACAGTCGTGCCCTGCTTTACGATTACCCCACATTACGACAAATCCGCTTCACAACGACGTTTTTGCGATCGCTTTTGCAATTGCAAAACGATGGTCTAAATAGGGTTTTTTCACTTTGCGATGATCGGTTCCCTGCTTTGGCAACCGATTCTTCACAAAATGATTTTTTAAACAGCTGATCGGCGGTTTCAAAATGGCCACCGGGTAATTAAAATGGCTCCCCACTGTGTTTAGGGACGGATTCCTCACTATACAGGCACTGAAAATGTCCGCCGTATGGAGGATCTTCGCTGGACGGTGAGTTTTTAGCCCATTGGAACGCATTGAACGGTTTTCAGTGTGTTTCAATTGCCTTTTTTCCCCCCCCGCTTTACGACGTTTTCGCTTAACAGCGATTTTCCTGGAACGGATTATCGCCGTTAAGCTAGGCACCACTGTATAGTGTGAGCTGCCCTGAGTAGGCTCCTGTCTAGAAGGGCCAGATAAAAATCCAATAATAAATAAATTAAATAAACATTCCTGGGTTTTTTTCTTCATATAAATGAATCTAAATAATTACAGTGTTGTTATTTTCCGTGCAAGAGTGAGAGGAGTCCTACCATTAGGCAGAGAGAGGGAACTAACTTACATGTCAGGCACTGGGAAATGGCAAAGACAGTCCCTTGACTGTTCCCCTTGAACTTACTGGCGATTTCCCACTGTTGCAAGACTGAACTGTGTGCACTATAAGGCTTGTCCCATTTTCCAAAGCTGACCTGGTATAGTAGAGCATGCTATTGCATTGCCAGTACTTAGGAATGGGACATCACTGAATCCTTCACTTCAATACATGTCTTGGGATGGTTCTGGAGGTGGACACAGTTCTGCAAATACAGGATGTCCCAAGATAATAAAATATTACTAAAACAGATTTAAATTATATCTCCTTATCAAGCTACTGTCTGTGCAAACAAAGTTTTGTAAATGTAAGGAGATCTCCTTGCATCAGGGTCAGTGTTATCATATGAAGCAATCCTGTGATCATCATTCTGACACTTTTAAAAAAACCCTGCATTTTTAATATAATGGCTACATACATGTTTAATGAAATTATATTTACGATTACCTTATACTTACCCTCACTGAAATAAAAACTATGTAAAACAAACTACATGTTTGAATGAATAACCTTTAGTGAGTTTTTATACAGAATTCAATGGTTTCTGTGGCAGCCTTTCTCAACCTGGTACCCTCTAGATGTCTTAGGCTATAATTCCCAATAGTCCTTGATGACATGACTGATAAGTCAGGTATGATGAGAGTTGTAGTCTGAAACATCTGGAGATCACTAACCTAGGGAATCCTGGTCTGTTTGTCACCACATTCTTGCTTTGAGGCAAAAGGAAATACTGCTTGTTCCCACAGGTATGTATAGTACTGGGCTTGCTTTCCCGTTTTTCCCAGTTCCAACACCAGTTTTACCCTAGTGTTTACTTATCATTTTTTGCACTTCCAAGTAGTACAGATTGCTATAATTTATGCCGTGTTGGGCAATTTATGGTTTTCTAGATTAGCCATTCATTCTCAACCTTTTTTTTTTTTTTGCCCTGGCCACAAACACAATATAAAAGAAATGCAGGCTGAATAAGAATTGTATAAGTTGCATAATGATCCTTATAAGGTGGTGTGCTGATGTGTGAAGAATTGTTTCCCATATGTGACCCCTTTAAATTTGCCAGCCCCTCCCCCCCCTCCAAGCCATATAATGGCTGCTCTGCAATTCTTGTCAACTCTCACCTTAAACTGGCTGGTGTGAGTGGAATTACAGTCCATCCATTTCTGAAGGGTTGCAGGTTGCCCAATTCTGATTCATGCTGCCTGAACTAGAGATGACCCCTCTTATCCTGGATTTCTTGAATGTAATAAAAAGCCATGATTTGTACAGGAGCGCCGTGTATCACACCGTCACAATTTTAGTTTTCTTTTCAAAAGTATGTGAGTTGGAATGTATTCTTCTATCCTTTCTGCCACTTCTTTGGAATGCCCAGTGCTCCTCCACGTCTCAGAGGTCTGCAGGAAAAGATTGGAGGTTCATGCTGTTCTTGTTAACTAACAGAATCCCCTTGAAACAGGCAGCCCTCCTTTTGAGTGCTGTGGGTCTACACTTCTGTAATGAGATTACTTCCTCTGTAACTACCGTGTTTCCCCGAAAATAAGACAGGGTCTTGCATTAATTTTTGTTTCAAAAAAAAAAAAATACATTAGGGCTCATTTTCGGGGGATGTTTTATTTTTTTCAAGAACAACAACCTACATTTATTCAATTGCCATCATTTGTTTTATTTATTGGGGTCATGAAGAGTCGGACTCGGCTTAACGACTAAACAACAACAAAAATTGTATTTATTATTATTACTTTATTCCCGTTCTTCTTCCCCTTCTTTAAATGTACCTGGTGCCACTTCCTCCAGGGGTGCCTCTGCCGCTGCCAGGAGGTGCCACGGTGGTGGCTCGGGTTCCTCCAGTGGCAGTGCCTGGGCTGAGAAGGAGGGTTAAAAGAGTTACCGGTAGGAGGAAAGAGGGGGAGGGAGGAAATAAAGGCAGGGCAGACTGGCAGGGGGCGGAGCTCCAAAATCTCCTCCCCCACCCCCCTAATCTTGTGCTTTGTTAGCCTTGCCTGGGCACACATGGAGGGGGAGGAAGCACGCCCACTACAGAGGTGTGAGTGCCAAGAGCCGTTGGGAGCTTAGCAGCCAAGAAGCCAGTTCCTGGCGGTGCGCAGCTCCTTCCTCCCTGACTGCCCAGCCCCTCTGCAAGCAAGGGAAGTGGGGGAGGAGGGGAAGAAGTTTTAACTCTTTCTTGAGGGCTTGGGAGGCTCCCGGTGAGTCCCTGGTGGAGGGCACGGTTTCACTTAACTAGGGCTTATTTGGGGAGTAGGAGTTATATTAAAATCATCTTGAAAAATCATACTAGGGCTTATTTTTGGGGAAACCCGGTACAGTATATTCACCTGTAATGTTTACAAGCAAAGGGACATTTTCCAATTCATGTGCTTTATCTCTCCACCCCTATCCCCATTCTCTCATTGTTTTGTCCCCTTGCAGGTCAGTGTTGAAGTTTTGGTAGAATATCCCTTTTTTGTATTTGGACAAGGCTGGTCATCCTGCTGCCCGGAGAGAACAAGCCAGCTGTTTGACTTGCCGTGTTCCAAACTCTCAGTTGGGGATGTCTGCATATCACTTACGCTCAAAAACCTGAAGAATGGCTCCATTAAAAAGGGCCAGTCCATGGATTCAGCTAGCATCTTGCTGAAGCACTCAAAGAATGACAGTCTCACTGGGAGTAGACGTAGGTATGCTGAACAGGAAAATGGGATTGATCAGGGAAGCACCAAGATGTCATCTGAGAACGGTGAACTGAAGTTTCCAGACAAAATAGGATTGCCTCCTGCAGCCTCTCTGCTCACCAAATCAGAACCCAGCAGCAAGCCCACAGCAACTCGGAAGAGGAGGTGGTCAGCTCCTGAAACGCGGAAACTAGAGAAGTCAGAAGAGGAGCCACCGTTGACTCTTCCCAAACCTTCTTTTATTCCTCAGGAGGTTAAGATTTGCATTGAAGGGCGCTCTAACGTAGGCAAGTGAAGTCTGTTTAGGGGAAGGAAAATTAGGCTATCCCATGTCCAGATTACTGTACTGTAGACTAAAATAACCCAGTATTTACACGTTATCATCTTATTTTAGGTTTCTGTAATAACCTTGTTGTTATAGTTGCAGCTGGTATTATGCAGGAGACTGGTGCATACTTCACCCCTCCCCCAGGTGTTCGTGGGTGATCATTTTTGTCAAGAGCTACGGAACAGGCAGGATCTTCTTCATCCTCCCCTTTGTGGAAGCAAATGTTTGTTGTCATGGCTCCTGCTTCCTGACACTGCAAGCAGAGTGAGCCTTGATTGTCTCTCTGGCAAGGAAATGGGAAAGGAACTGTAGCCGAGTCTGACACTATCATTTGGTTTGGTGAAAGGGCAGGGCTGGAAGATCCACAACCAGTCTAGTTTGGTGGTTCTCTCAACAAGGGAGTGTTGGGAGTCCAGTCCAGAGACAGCAAGATAGGACAGAGCAGTCTCTGAGACTTTGCACAATAAAAACCACCTGTCATTTAATATTCCTAAGTTTGCCACATGTTTTCCACTCCCCCTCCCAGCCCCGTCCTCTGTCCCACAAAGGGGAGGGGGAGGGTCTGACTGCACTATTTTTGTAGTAGTAGTAGTAGTAGTAGTAGTAGTAGTAGAGACTGCCACATAGAAATTTATTTCCACTTGCTAGTACAGTTACGTAGCAAGGGTGTAGCAACTGTTTCTTGCTTTGCTAAGACTGGGAATTTTCTTTAAAGTAGGACATTGTAGCTATAGGCCCAGTAGGTTTCGAATTGTTGGGACCTCTACTTAGGTCTGTTCAATACTTCTGTACAGGGTTAAAGAGAGATTGACTGAATGCTGCCGGTGACATTTGCTTCCACAGGGTAAATATGCACTGCCCCTTTGGGAGAGTGAGAAGGAACGTTTTTTGCATTTAGGTTGCAAATCTTTGTCTTTAACTCTAGTACTTACTTCTGTTTTGTTTTTAGTTTCATCCTGACTATGGACAACTAGTGCCACTTCCCCCCCCTCCCCAATTTCAGTGTGACACAAGGAAAGTGGATGTCGGAAGAGGAACATAGAATGTCTTTGAGCACTTAAAAATGCTGTTCACACTTTGGTTGCTGGGCATCCAGGTTTAACACTCAGCAAGTACTGTATCTCACTTTAATCTCTTTGATATGAGAGAGAAAAAGAAAAGAAAACTGATCTCTTCAACTCTGTTAACTACATGCAGATGTGTGCAGAGGTTTTTCACAAGCAGGATGTTGAAAGTTTTTCACATGGTTTCAAAGGGATGAATGTGAATTCTGAACTGGTATGTGACCGTCATTGTCCACAAGGACTACTTAATAGGAGGCACTTTTAAAACTTTAATGCTTGTGAAAGAGTTAAAGGCATATGTGAGCTGACAGATAATAAAAGAATAAGAGAGAGTATAAAAGAAAGAAGAAGAAAAATCATTATTGTCCAGTGTTTTGAGAAAAAAAAAGATGGACTTTAAAGAATCTTGCAATTTGCACATCTTGAGTTTATCATTTGTGTGGTATTCCTGCAGTTTTTACCTGACAATTTTGGGGAAAGGGAGAGGGACTGAGAAAGCTTAAAAAATGTAGCAATTACTTACTAACCTGCCTAATGTCTAGGCCATTTTTATAGGGATTCCATTTATAGAATTCCTTTCAACCTCTTTATTTTCTTTCTATTACATCTGTCACCTTGAACCAGGACAAACTCTGAGAATTTTACTTCAGATTCAGTGAGTTTTCCACAGGAGTCATTTTGATGCAGAAGCAGGTTTTGGTTTCTTGTTTTAATTCTAATCCATTGTTATTTTGTTATTGTGAACATTACTCTTTGTTACTTTGAATAATTTCTTTTTCCATTACTAGTACAATGTAGATGTCAACATTTGGTACAAAACAGGACAATGGGTAGAAAGTTTACCCAGTTAAGTTCTTTTATTGTTGGTGTTCTTAATGTTCCCAGAAATCTGAAACAAATTTAAGATTGGATTCAGAAATCCTAGCTCCTGCTGATTCTGTGGCTTCCATCTTGAAACTGATTCCCGATGAACAGCCACGTTGAAGCCCTGGTGACTACTCACAGATGAGTAGTTTAATGATGTCAGCTTGTGAACAATTCATATTAATGTACAGCCTAGTACAGTCCAGTTAATGAAAATATTACATTCATTTCTGAAGCTTTAAGATTAGGATCTTCTGATAAGAGAGACGGGCATTTTCACACATGCGGCTTAATTTGGGTTCTTTTTTAATTGGGCTGTAATGTGACTAAACTCCATGTTGATGCATTCTAATGTCGATAAGTGTCCATATGTGGTAAAGATATGAGAAAGTCTCAAATATGGTCTATTGTGTGAAAGTAGGGCAAGAACTTGAAGAACCTGTTAATATTGGTGCTTGCTCCATCTTATCAAGAGTGGGCATGTAGGTATGAATTCTCTTCTTTCCTGCTTGCAGTTATTTTTTAATCTAATGCAATCCAGGGCAAATAAGGCAGAAGACACGGCACAGGCAGAGGCTGTTTGCCCTGATTTCTTTCCCATAATCATTCCACTTGCCTTAAAGTAGCCACTGCCCTCAGAGTACAGTATCCTTGTTTGAAAAATGAGTAAAGTTGAAATGAACAGTTTGCACCTCCTTGTTACTAAACTAAAAGGGGTAAACTGCACCCTTAGCCTGGATTTTACCAGTGATTAGTTGAGGGATATGCCCAACAGGAATTCATCTCTCTTGATAAAACTTCAACACCGAAGGTAGTCCTGATTGTTGTATCAGGACTGTTGGAAATTTGAGGCCCTTTCAGATCAAAAATCTACATTTCAGAAGAGGATGTAAAATGGAAAAATTCCGCAACATGTTTGTCTTCCTTCTCTACTTTCTTAAATACATTTCAAATGAAAAAATAATTCCCATCTATCCCTATCCTTCCCTTCAGTTCTTACAACTCTTTGTTACTTGAACCTTAGCTCACACCAGAACTAATAATTCTTGTACCATTTTCTGGGGTGCACCAAAAATGTGTTTAAGTTTTAAAATAGCTTGAAATCTTTCTTGAATTGTTGTTATAACCTCTCAGTAATTCACCAAATAGCTGAGCAGGTTCTTATACAATCACACTGCTTATTTAGTGCTGTAATTTTTTTTCAACATTTCTGCTCAAAGAACTTGCTTAATCTTCCATAAACTCTGCTCAGGGCACTTTCAATTTATTGTTTATTGGAGTTTTATTTTTGCTTTTTTTTTTTTTTACTTTCGTTTTTCGTTTCAACCTCTGATTGTGAGAAGAATAGAAAGACAATGGGGGCAGAATTCCCCATTTTGTTCCCATTAGCACCACTATTCTCATGTGTACTCAGAGAGCATCCAACGTATAAGGAAGCAGGGATTTTGGAACTGACCGCATTTATTAAACACTAACATGTCAAAAATAATATAAAAGGTTGGAGCAATAGGAATGTATTTGCTTGCATTGCAGACTGAGAATCCTGCAATGGTTGCATCCTTCCAAATGTGGTTCCCCCCTCAGTGTGTGCTTTTGCTTTTTTAGCATGTGCAATATTTTATGTGCCAATTTAAACTCATCCACATGGTGATAGGTCAACTTTCCCCATCATCTTTTGTGAGTGTGTGTGAAATATAGGACCTTATACCTCCCTTGGTCCGTGGTAGGGACAAAATGTTTCCAGATGCCAAAAGGTGTAGCACGCATGGAGTGAGGGCTATATAGAGCTCTTATTCCAGCCCACCATGCCTCTACATTTAAAGGAAAAGAAATCCAAGCAAAGAAAAAATAATAATAATATTACTCCTTCAAAGGATGCTAAAGATGGACAAGATGGCCTGGGATGGAACAGATTCTGTGAATATGAGTGCCCTCCAAATCACTAACTAGCCAGTCTTAGATAGATTCAAAATTACTGGTATCGTAATCTATGTTGAGTCTATAACTATGGCTTAGCCTTTGAACTTTTGAAATACATAGCTGGAAGGGACCCTGTGGATCATTGAGTCCAGCCTCTGTCAGGGAGGCACAGTGGGGGAATTGAGCTCCCAACCTCTGGCTCCGCAGCCAGAGACCTAAGCAGCTATCCAGCAGTTCTCAAACTTACTGTCAGCTTTCCCTGGAAAAAATCAACCTTGTTGAAAGGAGTGGTGTACCCTCTTGTTCATGACAAAAGCTCAACACAAGGCAGTGACATCCTGCCTTGTGTTGGGTAAATCCTACTTAGTTCTTGGAGCATCCTTAGAGGAGGTCTCGGATGTGTTAGGACACTGAACATTTGTAGTCCAGTTCTGCAACCTTTGTATCTCCTCCAGATTTTCTGCCCCAAACAATAATTCTAGGTGAATTCTAAAGCCTGTTGGTGTCCTCAGGATGGTTTATGGTGGGCCCTTCATTCGTGTCATCAGATGGATAAGGTTTTGAGCCTTAGACTTTGAAGTGCCTTAATTTCTTTTGGGGGGAAAAAGGCACCTAATTTCACATACAATATTTCAACCCCGTTCATGCTCCTGGTACCACTCCTTTAAACTCTGATTCACAGAATCACTTCCTTCTCACTTCCTTCTTGCTGATTAAACAGTAGTGAACCGCTATAGAGACCATTTTAAGATTATTAATATTCATTTCATTTTAAGAGGATATTAATATGGCAATATTAACTGACAGCAGTTGTAACCCTCCCCCACCTTTTTTGTGTACCAGATCTTTTTTTTTGTTTACAATAAAATTCATACAATCACCAATAAAATTAGTCAGGGCAAAGAAAAAAAAAAACCAGAACCTCTTTATAGGAATTTCTAAATAAATATATCTATATATATCTATATCTGTATCTATATATAATGGCTGTTCCTTATAGTGTTTAACTTAGGCTTCATTTCAGTTTATCTGGGCCACGTTGTGAGGGTTTCAGAGTGCGATGTCACTTACCTTGTATCCTGTTAGTTGAATGTGGAGGAGCTTTTTAACCCTTCCTTTTGTCTTTTTCCTCTGCCCATTCCCTGCCATTTCCCTTTTCAGGGGGAAAAAGAAAGCATGTCTTATCCCTTGATCCTGATAATTACTTTTCCGTTTGTTTGGGACAGTGGGGGTGGGGGCTTGAGCCAGGAAGTGACATCACTATTATTGTTTCCCTAAGTCAACAAACATTTAGAAACCTTTCACACCTCTTACTCAGGGATGGGGCTGGCATATGTGTGGTATTATGTGACCAGAAGGAGCACTTTTACTGCTCTGGAGTAGGGATGTTCAGTTCCAAGGGGTTGTTTGGATTTCCTGCACAGTCATGGAGTACCTTCCCAGATGAATCACACAAGTTGCAATATAAAGCAGCAGAACCAGTGTGAAGTGTAGCTTTTGGTTGTGGAAGAATTCACAATGTCTGCAGTAGCTTGTCTTACTTTGATATGTTGCCAAGCAATGAAAGAAGTCCGCAACAACAATACTGTTCAGGTAGGAAGTGAGAATGCTATTTTGAAGACAATGAGTTGGTGTTTCTTCTAAATTTTCAAATATGAATTCCTAAACAATTTATTTATGCCCCATATATTTAGGTCATTGCAAAGCCAACTGACATCTTCAGGGCTCTGTCTCTCAAGGGTAGTCATGTTTTTCCCAAAATTGTTCTAGGGTTGCTCTGTTGAAATCAGTCTATGCCTAAAAATGTATACTTTGGAGGGTCAAAGCTACATATTACCAGACCTTTCAAAAACAATGCTTAAATACATGGGCAGGTTCCTTGAAGAACCACTTGTGTATATTTCTTTCAGCAGAATTAGAGCTATAATTGTTTGGGATGCTTTCATGCATCTTCTCTTTCAGGTATTGCCAGACACTTCACTTTGGTGTAGATGTTTAGGCATCAATGGCTTTTAGGGTTCTCATGGACACAATTCTTTCAGCATGAAGGGCTGAAGAGCCTCACTGATACTGGAGTTTCGAAATGTGTGAAGGAAACTGCTGTGCATGTGGTTACCTGGGCATCGAGGAGCTGTGAGAAAGTAGCCAAAGCAACGTTTCTGTGATCCAGACTGTGACAGTTAGAATAGTGGAAACATCTTTAAGACTATATTTGAATTACTCTAGTGTCTGTCTGGATTTAAGCTGTCAACTTTGTGGCATCCATCTATAGACCGAAATGCGAAAGTGACCTTCTGTAGGCAAGAGGTGCCTTCCACACATAGGTGTTTTGAGCTCATGTGGAAGCAGAAACAAGCAAATGATTTATGGCGCCTCCCCTATTAAAGCCCTATGCAAGCACTTGTGGTAGTGATTGCACAAGTGAACTAGTGGCTACTTTCCTTCTCTCACAGTTCTTTCGATCCAGTCCCTTATTTTTGTTCCCTATAATTTAGAGAATTGCCTCCTTTTTTGTTGTATGTTCTATGAATGAACTCTATTAACAGCAATATGTGACCTGCAATCTTTCCTCCCCACTCCCATCATTATAAGTAACAGTGTTGTCTAAGGACAGGCACTGTGATAGCGTGTAAAAAAAAAAGGGAAATGACGTTATGTGTGTCTGTTTTAGGCGCAATGTGGATAGTGCTTTGCTTTTTTGTTTGTATCTCTGACAGTTCTTGGGGGTGGGGGAGTGGGTGGGGAGAGAATGAGTATTTCCAAATCGTAGCTGTTGTTTTTGTGAGCACGGGAATATTTTGTTGATTTCCTTTGTAGTTTCCAAGAGCAGTATTTTTTTTTTTGTTGATAGGGAAATTCCAAACAAGTTGCACACTTCTACTCCAGAGTTCAATTTCTTTTACATAGATGACCTCGCTTCTGACGTGTTACCTTACTGATAGAATCTTTACTTGTAGCACTATAACTCGTGGGAATATTTTTTTATGTGAACCTAATTTGATGAGAAGCTTAAACAAACTTTTTTGAAGCACTCACATTGGGAGGAGTACAGGTAATGTTTTTTTTAAAAAAATTGCACAAAAGAAACATGAATGTTGGAATGATTCATTCAGTGTTTGAAAAGCGATGGACATGTTGAAATCGTGTGTTTGTAAAAATGAAATAAAAGTACAAACGTCAAGAAAGGGTGAAAGTTACATGTTTTTGTATATAGAAAACTTCACATCTAGATGATCCGATTGTATTGGTTCTGGCTGGAAACAAAA